GGGGGTGACTCTTGGGGCTGGACCTGTGCAGGGCCAGGAGTTGGACTCGATGCTCCTTGTGGGTCCTTTCCAGCCCAGCACATTCTGTGAAAATACTCTGCTCTTAGTAGGGCAAATGAGCTGCAGGGAGCTGTGCTCCTTTGGTTCTCACTCCTGTGTGGCCCTGTGATGTGTTTGTAGCCAGGACAGCCAACTGGAGACAGTCAGTCAGATGAAAACAGTCAGATAAGCTGCTCTAGACCATGGGGAAAAGTACAAAAAGTACCAGTGAAAAGAAATGGAAGAGAAAATTTGTATGTTAAAAGAGCAGGCAATAAACTGGGGAAATCCATATGTAAGATAGAGAATACTGTGCAACTGTTTTCAAGAGAAACTTGAAAACTGGGTCCAGGTCAGTCATTGCAGTGCCCAGTGTCTACCTGCACCTGATACCATTCACCACTTCAGCTTTCATCTTCTCACATTCAAACCCACACAGATGTCTGCATATTTGGACTATAAAAACATGGCACATGAGGAGCTCTGAGACGAGTGAAAACATCCTGAAGACATGGCAGGAAACAGCTCCACAAAATGGAGTTGTAAATGGTTGGATTTAGAAAAAGGAAGAAGGGGGAATGACAATACTTGAGAGGAAAGAAAAGACAGCCTGAATAAAATTTTATCTATAAATGATAGCCAGTGTGTATGTGACAGTTTAATGTGCTCCCAATCCAATCAGCCTTCTTTCTTTTTTAGGAAAATACTAAGATTTCCTTAAAGATAAGAAAACACTGCTGCTTATGCAAATATCACATTATTCTGTAATCCTGATACCTCTGGACAGTGGCTGACCCTAAGAACGGATTTTCACTGATTCTGTCCTCAAATCATAATTTATCGCTTCAAAGCTGCAGTCATGAAATTCTGTTCTCACTTTTACTGGATTGAATCAAGGATAATTATATCATACTCATGAACTTATGGAAGTCAGAACCAACAAGTGATGGGTGCTTAAAGGGTGGATTTCTTCAACTCAGAGCTAAATGTGAAATACTCGTGATTTCCACAAATTTCTTATGGGTTTTTGACTCCCTCTCAGAAGTGTCTGCTAAGCAGTGAATGACAGGAAGACATAATTCCATTCACTACAGTGAAATGTTTCAAGCTACCTAAAAGAATAAATCTATCTTCCCCAGTCCTCATACTTATGGTTTTATTCCCCTTTGACAGCAGTGATGAGTGAACAGAGCAGCAGCCTAGGACAAATACAGGGGTTCTTCTGAACCTGTCACCAGTTGTGAAACAGAACTAACAACAAATTTGTTTTCCCATCTCTATATGTGGAATAATTTCCTTTATGGTTTAATTTGAGCTCCATTTATTAAAATTGCTATATAAGAACTAACCATCATGGTTAGAAAAGTAAGATTGGAATGCTGAATTGAAACTGGACATGTTAAACTTTGCAGGTTTGAGGAAACTGGATTTTTGAATCTTTAAGGCAAGTTGTCTCTATTATAATACAGGTCTGGAGTCATTGGGAAGTTTTTCCACAAGGAGATATCACTTGAGCATAACGCTTTTGCTATATATTAGTGCATCACTGTGGAGGGGCAGAGCTGCATTTTAGGAGATGTAGAATGAAATGAGAGTTATTTGGTTCCAAGGTGAATGGCTCAATGGCACTGTAAATGTATTTGCTTAAGTAATTTGGCAATTACATTTGCTCATCATTAATAATGACATGCATTTGAACAAGGTGTCGTGCCTTCTTTAATGCATACCAGTGTGTCTGATGTGTCAGTGCCTATTAACAAAAACAGGGCAGAATTACAATCAGTTTGGGTACAGGCTGCACACTCTAGAGCCTCTGATGAACAGGAGGTAGGAGCAGATTAAATGTTAAAACATTCATCACTCCAGAGCTTGCCTACACCTCAGGTTCTTGAAAGAGTATCTTGTTTACCCAGGCAGCTCATCTCTCTTCTTACATTGCATTACGGATGCTGGCAGTTCCCAAATGGGAGATACACTAAGCTGACATCTGTTCTTCATGTGTGTGTTAAAATACTTTATAATGAATCCAGGAACTGCACAAAAATGCTTCACGTGGTGAATATAAGCAGAACAGTGTACTGCCAACCCTGAACACTAAAAGAAGAATGATTCCAGATTTTTTCTATTTTTTAATATTTTACTTAAAAAGAGACTGCCTGTAGTTGTTGATTGACCAGAGAAATTTCAAATTTTATATTCTCAAGATTTGCTTTGCAAACACAAAAGTGTGATGGCTGTATATTGATATTCTCATGCATCAGTGTGACTGCAGGAGCTGAAAGTGGTAATCCTTCTCCCACAGCTACAGAGTGAGAGTCATGAGATTTCCTAGGGAAAAAAATGCAGCTGGGAACCTCTTCCTGGCATAAGGGGGAAAAAAAAGGGTATCTAAGTAAAGAAAGGGATTAAGAAGAAAAAGACAAAAAGGACATACGTAAGGTTAACAACCATGCAAGAGAAAAAGCTTGAGTCAAATATAGGCCAAGATGGCCAAGTGAATAGAAGGAATTTATTTGGAACATTCTCGGGAAAGTGGGGCAGAAAAAGAGGAAGGTGGTACCTGGTTCCCTAGAAGTTTCCCAGCCTTCACACCCCATTTTTTTAATTACTTGTCTTTGACTTTTAAAGCTATACACACTTGGCTGCCTTATGCCAGAAACAGGAACTACATTTTGGAACTCAGCCTGAAACATTAATTCTTGTAATTTATGGTTTGTCCAGGTGAAACAGTGTAGCAGAGAGCAAGAACAGAACGAGACTGCTTTTGACTTTAGTAAACAGGATGTCCCTGTAATACTGCAACAACCACTGAAATGTCAGCAGAAGGAAGGATTTACTGTGGCACAGCAAACACAAAGCCTGAGAAAAATGAACTTTGGTGGAGATGCTGATGAAAACAAAAGAGGAAGCACTGTATTGTAGTACATCACCTGCACGATATAAAGCACTCGGTGATAACTGCCCTGCTGTGTACATCTTTGCAGCAGATACAGAGCAAATTACTTTACTGAAGAGAGGCAGATTAAAAGGATAACACCCTTGTACAGGCTAACAAATCAGCTGGAACAATGCACAGATTTTAGGACCTCTATTTCGTTGTTGAAATTTAGTGCCAGAAATCTTTGTTGAAATTTTTAAAGATCTGAGAGTTTTCCCTTTTTTTGTACCCTGTCATTCTACAGCTAATACTGATCCTATATGGAAAGATCTTCATAACAGAAGTACATAGACACAAGAGATTTCAGATGTTCTTTTCTCAATACTAAGAAGGAATAACTGCAATAATGTGCAATATCTCTGGAAAATATACCTAACTGGATTTTCCTGAACACTGTCTGCTTTTTGGGCTTCTCTCTCAGTTTGCTCGAAAACGCCTCAAGACTCCATTCCAGAAAGTGGGTTGAGAGATGCAGAGAAATGCCTGTTTGAAACATAAATTGTGGTCATGGCAGTGTTGGCCAGAAAAACTGGATTTGTTACCCAGTGTGCAGCAAGCCAATAATTACACACCCAAGAGAGACATTGATTATTTATTTCAGAGTTGCTCCAGCCTGGATTCCACAAATCAAGCACAGTAACTCTCAAAACTTTCTGCTATTTATACATTTTAGCAAACAAAGGCAATAATGTCCATTGGCTACAAGTTACACAATTCTCTTATTAATTAGTATTCTATCTCCTATTGGTTAATGATTCTCTCACTTCTCATGCTAATTAGTCCCATGCTCTCAGTCTTTCTCTTCTTTTGAGTCAGGGGGTTTCTTGGGTTGGTGGTCATGACCTGCCCCTGCTGGAATTACCCTTTACCCAGTTGGAGCTGATCCAGCACAATCACTGAGTTGTCTTTATTAGTTTCTTCCTTATGTTGGGGATTCTGCCAAATGTCCTTGTGGCCTGTAAATTCTGCATTCTTTGTGTGCCCAAATCAGTGGTACATCCTTCTTCTCAAGCCTTGTTAACCTCCCCCAAGTCTGAGATCATTGAAACACATCCAGCCCTAAACCTTAACAAGGCAATTCTACCGACAATTAATTTGTCTTTCTAACTAATACCTGGACATCACTTAGACTTTGTTGGCTGCTTTCTGTTCCACAGATTAAATCTCCCTCCTTGTTGACTAGGCTTGAAAGTATACAATGATCAAGCATCAAAGAACATCCTTTCCTAATAAAATTTTATATATTCCACATTTTAGACTCTCGATGATGAGGTCTTTTGAGTAGAATCCTGTAAGGAATGGGGTTCCTATGAGGGCTGGATTGCTGATGGTTAGGCATGAAGTGGTTGTTGCAAGTATTTTTTGTAGGCCTTCTGTTGTTTGAACGTTATTCTCTCCGTTGAGGTTGTGGATAATGGACCCTGAGCAGAGTACTAATATTGCGCTAAAGAATTAATGGGTTGAGGTGCGGAGGAAAGCTGGATGAGGCAGGTTTAGTCTGACTGTGTTATTAGGCCTAATTGACTTGATGTGGAGAAGGCAATGATTTTTTTCGATACGGTTTTGCGGATGTGGGGGCAAACAGTGTGGAGATGGTGCCGAGGAATGGGCACAAGGCAGGGCGGTGCTGGGGAACACGGGGAGCGCGAGTGAAGGGGAACGCTCCGGGTGCGACGGGTTCTGCAGGGCTCAGCTGCTCAGCACTGCAGGTACTGCCCGGGCTGAGAGATGGAGAGCAGTGCCTCTTTCGGACGGGACTCCCGAGAGCGGCCTCACATTCCGGACGCATCCCCGAGGGAAAGGACGCATCCCCGAGGGAAAGAACCCACCCCTGAGGGAAAGAACCCACCCCCGAGGGAAAGAACCCAGCCCTGAGGGAAAGAACTCATCCCTGAGGGAAGGAACTCATCCCCGAGGGAAAGAACCCACCCCTGAGGGAAAGGGCCGCCCCTGAGGGAAAGAACCCAGCCCTGAGGGAAAGAACCCACCCCTGAGGGAAAGGGCCGCCCCGCTGCCGCCGCCCCGCCTCCCTCAGCCCGCGCGTGCGCGGCGGGAGCGGGGCCATGGCGCGGCCGGGCCGGGCCGCGGCCAAGGAGCAGCGCTACGACCGCCAGCTCAGGTACGGGGGAAAGGGCTGCGCCGGGCCCGCCGAGGGGAGCGGGGTGTGCCGGGCCTGCCCTGCCCCTGCCCGGTGGAGAGCGAGCCCGCGGCTCTCTGTGCTCAGCCCGCGGAGGGCAGAGGCCCCGGGAGGAGCCCGGGGAGGGAGCTGGGCCGTGTCCGAACTGAGGGGGCCCTGTACCGGGCTCCCGGGCAGCGCCGTGAGCGCTTGTGCTGGCACAGGGGAAATTTATATGTGTATATATTTGGCACCCCCACTTTAAAGAGAGAGAGAGCGAGAGAGAGACATATATATATGTATGCCTATTATAGAATCAACCAGGTTGGAAAAGACCTCCGAGATCATCAAGCGCAACCCTCGATCCAACCCCGCTGTGGTTCCCAGCCCATGGCACTGATGCCACATCCAGTCTCACCTTCAACACCTCCAGGGACGGGGACTCCACCCCCTCCCTGCCCAGCCCATTCCAGTGGCTGAGCACTCTCTCTGTAAAAAATTTCTTTCTAATATCCAACCTAAACCTTCCCTGGCAGAGCTTAAGACTGTATATATGTATGTATATATATTTATATATAGAATAGAATCATAGAATATGTTGAGTTGGGTCCTGACCCATCAGGATCATTGAGTCCAACTCCTGGCCCTGCACAGACACCTCAGCAATCCCACCCTGTCTCCTGGAGCTCTGGCAGCCTTGGGGCTGTGCCCACTGCCCTGGGGAGCCTGGGCAGTGCCCAACCAGCCTCTGGGGGAAGAACCTTTGGCTGAGATCCAACCTGAGCCTGCCCTGACACAGCTCCAGCCATTCCCTGGCTGCTGTCCCTGGTCCCCCCAGAGCAGAGATCAGTCCCTGGCCCCCTCCTCTGCCCCTTGCCCAGGAATTGGAACTGCCCTTGAGCTTCCCCTCAGTCTCCTCTGCTCCAGCTGAACACACCAAGTGCCCTCAGTGTCCTCCCACGCCTTCAAATCCAGGCCCTTCCCCATCTCTTTGCCCTCCTTTGGACACTCTCCAATGGCTCAATCCCTTCCCTCCATTGTGTCCCCCCAAACTGCCCCAATGTTGAGGTGAGGCCGCCCCAGGGCAGAGCAGAGTGGGACAGTCCCCTCCCTGGTGCCCCAGGACAGGGATGTCCCTCCTGGCTGCCAGGGCACTGCTGACTCAGGGACAACTGGCACCACCAGGACCCCCAGGGCCCTTTCCCAGCTCTGCTCTCCAGCCTCTCCTTCCCAGTCTGTCCGTCCATCCGGGGTTGCCCCATCCCAGGGGCAGAATCCAGCACTTCCCCTTGTTAACTTCCCATGGTTGATAATTCCCAGCCCTCGGATCTGTCCAGGTCTCTCTGCAGGCCCTCCCTGCCTTTGAGGGACTTGACAGCCCCTCCCAGTTCTGTGTCATCTCCAAACTTGCTCAGTGCCCCTTCCAGTCCTGAGTCCAAGTCATTGATGGAGATGTTGGAGAGCACAGTTTAATTCTTTTTTGTTTCTTTGTATTGCCTTTGCAATAAATACCTTCATTATGTATTGGTTTCCCTCCCAATACAGACTGTGGGGTGACCATGGCCAGGAAGCATTAGAATCTGCCCATGTTTGTGTGATAAATGCAACAGCAACAGGAACTGAAATACTCAAAAACTTAGTGCTGCCAGGTAAGTAGGTATTTCTCCTGTACATTCTTGGGAATGTATCTGATAACTCCATAATGCCAACTTATTAATAACAATTTTTTTCCCCAAGGTATTGGTTCCTTTACAATTGTTGATGGGAATCGAGTCTCTGGAGAAGATGTTGGAAATAAGTAGGTTTTTTACTGACTTTTGTTACAAATTGAGAAGTAAGAGGGTTTAAAAGGTAGTTCCATCTCTGCATTTGTTAAGAAATTCTGTAAAATTCTTTTAAAAGCCTCTGTATGTTTCTCCAAGTCTTTGTGGGTTTGGAAGTTGGTGACATACAGCATGCATGGTCATTTTGACATTGACTGCTAAAATTCTTTTAGTTCCTAGTTTTTGGACCTTACAGGTCTATTTGCTTCACATATCAAGTTTATAAAGACAATGCTCTACTCAATATAAAAATATTTAAAATTAACTCATTTGATGTAATCTTGAGCTATGACAGAGGAAGACTTGTTTGTGTTTCAGTGTGGCTAAATATGTTTTCACTGATTGTGAGGAAAATACAACAGTGATGGTGAAAAGAAAGGCAGATTTAAGGGGGAATGTGGCATGAGAGTCAGCAACATGTTCTGCAGTACAAAATGTAATTTACTGCTGTTTTTTCTTCAGTGTAAAAGTTCACATGTAATTCCCTCTTGTCTCCTTTTCAGTTTCTTTCTACAAAAAAGCCATATTGGTCAGGTAAGGAGATAATAAATGTCACTTTAGGTGTGCTGAAAGCACAGAAGGGTTGGGTACTCAAATGCAGTATAATGAATAATTCTAAAAATATATATGTATAGGTTAAAGTCTGTTTATTCTGTGAGAGAGTTCCCCATGCTTACTTTTTAGTTGCTCATAAGTGAGAAGATCAACTCAGTTGGGGCAAGATTGAATAGAAAAAAATGAAGAGGTTATGATTAAGAAAATCTTTGGAAGGTCATTGTGGTTAAAAGAATAAAGCTAAGATTAGTGAAGTGAATGGGGGAAAAATTGTCACAAAGACAGAGTACAGGAGTCCTAGATAACTCCTGGAAACTAATAAAATTGGAAATTAGGAAATAGCTGTCACATAATTTGTGTTTTTAAAATCATACTACTGAAAGTGCTCTCAAACACTGCCTGCTGTTATGGGATTTATTTTTGCTTCAGATAAGAAAGACTTGGAATAAGGAGCTCTAGTTTATGATGAGTTTTGTTATGGGGTGGTTTTAGGGGTTGTTTTGTTGTTGTGTTTGGTATTTTTAGCATGTGGCATTATGTACCATTGCTATACTGTATAAATTACATTTCATTTTAATTGTTCCTAACCAGAGTCGTGCCCAGAGTGCCATGGAGCTCCTGCAGGAGTTGAATAGTGATGTTTCTGGAAATTTTGTTGAAGAGGTTTGTATTCCTAAATTGGTCATGTGTGTGTGTTATTCAGTGTGATAAAAGCATGGTGCAATAGCTGCGTGTTGCTTTGTAATGTTGCAGTTGAAGAAGCTTCGTGATAAAACAGCATTTGAGGAAGATGATCTGAAGTTATTTGCGAAGTCAATTTATGTGTTTTAAACATTGTTTTGTAACTTCATCTTAATCTTATAACTTTCACTTTATATTCAATGTTGAACAGACTTGCTCTGTATTCAGAAATTTCCACAGTGTTTCCTGACATATATTTTTTTCTCCTATTTAGAGTCCAGAAAAGCTTCTGGACAACAACCCTTCCTTTTTTAATCGGTTTAACTTGGTGATTGCAACACAGCTACCAGAAAGGTAAAGAAGCATCTAAAGTTATTTGTTTGTTTTTGTACAGTTGTAAAAGCAGATTTAAATTACAGAAAATTGCAGAAAAACTTAAACCAGAAAGGAAAGTTACAGTAAATGATGGGTTTTCTAGAGACATTTTTATATGTTAATACGTAGTTTAAAATCTCTTTCAGATCCATGCCTGGCTCCTAGTGCTGTCTCCAGTGTATTTTCTTGCCAGGCACTCTTTTGTAGTGAGAGTTGTTTCTGTTCCAAAACCACAGTAACAAGTGTCCTTATGTACAGCCTGACAGATCAGAGGGTCTGTGATGCCTTTACATTTCTGCATTTTACTGTTGGTATAACTCTTCCCAATTTACCCCTATGTAATTCTATTTCCCATCTAAGCTTTGCCAAGACCAGTAGTTCTGACTTTTTTTACTCTTTTTAACCCATTCCTTGAGTGCTGCCTGCCAAGAAAAGGTGCAGATGGATAATTGCAACTGGGAGTACTGGGAAACCTGGGGGAGAGGAACTTGCTGCTTCTGCCCCCACAGAGGCAAGAGGTTGTTGGGTAGTTGAATAGTTAAACCTTGCTTTTGCAAGGAAGTGGCTGTTGGTCATTCCTCATCTATTTTGTCCGTCCCCCTTCTCACAGGGGAGCTGGAGGTGCTGTCTCAGGAATAAGATCCTCTCTGAAATGTTGATTCCCTTGGGGAAATGGGGTATTTTCTATGTGCTGATCAAAAACCCCTGGGTGGAACTGCCCCTACTGGAAGTTATGTTTGTGCAAAACATAGATCTGATTCCTTTTTTTGCTCTTTCACAACTCATTGAAGCTTTTTGTGTGATATTTGGAGCATTTGGGAGGATGGGGTGAGACGTAAGTAAGATCATGGATAAACCTATTTCTAATCTAGTGTAAATTCACCTATGAAGTGAATCACCTTATGTGCTTAGGATCATGTGGTGTTAGAGAAGTTGTCTGGGAGAACTCTTTCACAAGTAACTTGTGTAGGAGTTGACTCTTGTCTTCCGTATATCTGAAAAAAGCTGTTTTTCCTTCCAGTACTTTGCTGCGCTTGGCTGAACTTCTCTGGAATTCTAACATTCCTCTGCTGGTCTGCAGGACTTATGGACTGGTTGGTTATATGAGAGTCGTTATTAAAGAACATACAGGTTAGAGGGTTTTCTGAGATAGAGACTTTTCAATGCCTAATGTCACTTTGATTTATTTTTTTTGGTTTATTTTCGTCTCGTGATGTATTTAGTATTTGTTAAGTCCTAGGTAGTTTGCAGTTCATCACCACATTTGAGGAATTATGGACTGCAATAAATAGTAAAACTGGAGATTATCCTGCCATTGACTTACACAGAACACTTGGAGAATTGAGCAGATGGTGCTGTATGTGATGTGGAGCTCTGGTTTGAAGGCCAGACGTAAAGCTGCAAAATACATGGTGTGATTTTGTTCACAGTTGTTGAATCTCACCCTGACAATACATTGGAAGATCTGAGACTGGACAAACCATTTCCAGAACTGACAGAACACATTCAGTCCTACGACTTGGATCACATGGACAAGAAGGTTGGTGTGTGCCTGCACCGTGTTCCCCCAGCTGGAGGCAAACCCAGGACAGGGGTTCTGTGGAAATGGCCCTTGGCAGGTGACTCTGCTGCCAGGGCTCATCTGAACGGAGGCAGCTGGAGAATCAGTCAGCAGGCACTATTTTCTTGCCTCTGCCCCAAATGCTACAGTCTGTATTTAAATCTTAAGCAGGTGGGGGTCTTTGGAAGCAAGGATATTCTTGGACAACTTGATCTTTTATTAGATTGAATACCCCTCACACCTTTATTTTTAATTTGTTTTTTGATTTTTATGATTCCCTGCTGCTGCAGAGCTTTGCAGTGAGGGTGTTTGTGCATAGTGTGAGTTTTCCACTCCAGGAAAATACTGGAGAACTTGGCTCAGACAAGTAAAGTAATAATAATTTTTTAAGTAAACTAATAATTTATTAATTTGCTTTATGGTAGTTAGAGAACATTATGGCTGAATCAAAATCTGGAACATGTCCTGTGTCTTCAGAGCAGTGGAACGGATGTTAGGAGTTTACATTTAAAATAGGTTTTTAATTTGTCCTGTTTTTTATCTTTTCTCAACTTGACAAAGATCTCTCTGGTGTTCAATTACAGGACCACAGCCACACTCCATGGGTTGTGATTGTAGCCAAGTATCTGACAAAATGGTTCAATGAGGTATGTTGCAAAACTATTACTATTGTTGATCTGTCTTTTCTACCCTAATATATTATTTTGGCAGTGTGTAACATAAAACAAGGTGGAATCTTAAAAATTACTAATTGAAATACAAGTGAATGTATGTGAGCAGTGACACTCCTGGAGTTCAGTCTGAACACAGTGAGGTTGGTAGTAGGTATTTTAAAGACAACATCTTTTTGTGTTTTTGAATTCAGAAAAGTGAACAGCTGCCCAAAAGTTACAAGGAAAAAGAAGCCTTCAGACAACTGATTCGACAAGGTAATGAAGGCCCCAGGAGTCACTTATCCATACTGGCAGAAATAAGGTGGTGTCTGAAAAATAATCAGAAGTTTTCTCAGGGTTAATTTATGAAAAATTTGCTGGAATATTCAGTAGGATTCTTCTGCTAAAGGATTGTTTTGTACAGGTGGATCTTGAGATCCCAGATTTGCTTATTTTGGCAGTGTTTCATGATGTTTAAGATCCAGAGTATGTTTTGATTTGGGAGGGAGGACAGGCCTCAAGAGAAGAACCTGTAGAAGATCTGATAAAGAGGAAAGAAAGTGGCTCTTGACACACTGGAATTGTCTTTTACTGCAAGTATTTGGTGGGTCTGTTGACCCCCAGACACTTGTTAATCTTTGCATCTCTAAGTTACCAGTCGAGACACAAAGGTTACGTAGCCCCTGAATGCACTGTAACCAGTATGTGAACAACTCCAGTTTTGCAGGTGGTTCAGTTTAATACCTTTTGTGGGTGCTAAAATTAATGTGGAGGTTTTAAGATCTATAAATATATTGTCTTAAATGATTGTAGAATAAAAGCAGTAACCAAATTTTTGGTATTTCCTCACTTGAAGGTGGCCTGTGTGCAAATTCTGGGTGGTTCTGCCATCCTTATCCCCGGGCTGTGTGAGGGAACTGAACTGATCTGATCTGTCGTTGAACCTTTGGTTAAATCAGGGGTTTAGTGGAGCCCATTTCTGGATCTGGTTTGCTGTGTGGGTACATAAGTGCCAAATTTGAGCAAAAAAACCCCAGGAAAACATGACTGGGGATGGGAAGGAGAGTTGAACTGTTAATTTAGTGCTTATGAAACTTCATTATCTCTTTCTCACACAAATAAACTGGTTTTTTTGTGATAAGTAAATGAATCATATGCAGAATGTACAAGAAGTTAGTTTTATCAGTGCATCTTTGACTTTTTTCTTGAGATTTATTTTTCTTTTTTTGCTGATTAGCTGTTATGCCATAAATACACCCAAAGCCAGTCTGCCCTGTTGGTAAGATGTACTTACTGACAAGATGTAATTCAAGTGGTTGAGTATTTCAAATTTTTCTTTCAATAAGGTATCTTAAAGAATGAAAATGGAACCCCAGAAGATGAGGAAAACTTTGAAGAAGCTATAAAAAATGTGAACACAGTGTTGAATACTACAGAGGTAAAATAAACATTTCTGTGATAAAACTGAATAAATTTCAACTGCATCATTTCCTCAGAAAATATTATGCACTTCTAGTACAGGAATTCCATTTGTAACATTTCTATTTAAGTAAAACAGGATTGATAGAATGGTTAGCATTGAAATTGTGTAGTTAAATAGACCTGGACTAGCTGTAGCTCATGGAAGTTCTGTTGTTTCCTTGCTCCTGAAGACTTGAATTCAAGTCTAGAATGAGTCGGTTCATTAGCAGTGAGTTCTTGTCTCAGTCCTTTCATCCTGAAGAAACGTTATGAAATTCCCTTTATAAACTGATCAAACTTAAAAATCTTAAAAGTGAAGTTTTTTCATTGTTTTTAGATAATTCTGAAGTAGCAACTTGTGGTTTAGAACTAAGATTTGATTTCCTTAATCTCTCATTGATGGTAGATTGCAAAAGCTACATGGGGTAAAGGCAGAATTCTGTGACTGTTTCTAGATTACATTCTGGTTTTATTTGAACTGTGCTGATCCCTGCTTGGACTGTGCTGATCCCTGATCACATTAAGTCTCCCAAGAAAGCAGCAGGTAGCACTGAGTGCTGTCACACAGGGCACTACAAGCCATGGCACAGGATATTAATATCTGTGGGAGTTTATATGCAGTTAAAAGCAGTCCCTTTTGCAGCCTCTCTCTCCTTCCCTGGCCTGTTTGCTGCTCTGCCCCAGCAGGTAGGATGGGCACTTGGGACAGTTGCTGCCACTGTTCTTTAAAATCCTCTATGTAAAGATGGAAATAAGGTGAGGTTTTGTTTGTAACATCGATCCTGAGCAGAACATGTTATTAGGGCTAATATTTGAAATATGTCTGAGGCAGCACTGACTGTGTAGGATTCAGAGGAGATTTTGGTATGAAACTGAGGTCACATAGAGTTGGTCACCTACGTAATGAGTATTGAGATAATTCAAGAAAACAAAAGACAAGTAATTACAAACCCAATGTATTTATTTTCATAGGTTCCAAGAGGCATTCAGGAGCTTTTTGATGATGATTGCTGTGTGAAGCTCACAGAGCAGGTATGAGTACTTCTGGGCAAGACTTGAATGTATAAATAATGTCTGTGTACATGAGTGTCTCTTGTGCATTTGCAGTCACCTTCCTTCTGGATTTTGGTTCGAGCTTTAAAGGAATTTGTGGCAAATGAAGGGCAAGGAAGCTTGCCTGTGAGGGGCACTATTCCTGATATGATTGCAGACTCCAGTAAATTTATCAAACTGCAAAATGTGTAAGTATACAGTTATTTACTAACTAGTTCCTAATGCTAGTAGATGGTGCTGAGTTCAGAGCTCTCAGAGTGCAGGAATGCCTGTGTTTAGAGCCAAAGGCGTGTGTGTGGGGCTGGGCTGAGGGCTGTGGGAAGCACAGCAGCCTGGGCTGTCCCTGGGTAGGTGCCATCTGCGCATGGGAAGTGGAGCTGAAGCCTTCAATGCATCCCAGTTTCCCAGGGCTGGGTGGGGAGTGATCACCTGGTTTCAGATCTAGTAAAGACCTTCCTATAGATAGTAGATCTCATAGCCCAGATGCTGCTGTCCAGAGCAAATTTCTGCTTAAAGACAACCTTTTTTTTTTTCCCTCAAAATATATGTTAACCTAAAATAATATGGTTACAGAAATTCTAGTTTTCTAAATCCTTAGTTCAAATTAATGCCCTTGGAAGGGATTGCCTGGTAAATAAGGAAGGGCAGAGACTTTGTGAAGAAACAATAACTGCAAATTCCATACGGCATCAGTGTGGATGAAGATTTTAGGATGATGTATCTTCAATATGAACTTACTGTTCCTGTGCACCCTGGACATGGTACAATTGTTTGGCCAAACAGACTTTTACAGCATTGCCCCATTTTCTTTGCAGTTGAGTATTTCATCCACCTTTTTTTATCTTTACAATGAAACAGTATCCTGTTGAAGACTTTGTTAACTTATTGTCTGTGCAGTTGTACTGTTGAATCAGAAAGTAAAATCTAATAGATTTTGGAGTAAAATCTAATAGATCCCCATAAATCTAAAACACAACCTCTACTAGAAAAAGGATTGTGTGCCTTTAATAGTGTTTACTACCCAAAATGGAATCTGTGCATTTAGAGAGGCATTCCTCAGAGCTGTGACAAATAGCATTAAAACGTGACGTAAAAATACAAATCGTCACATGTCTAAAATAACTGATTGCTATCAGTTCAGGAATATAATTATAGTAAACCCAGAAACTTGTATCAGTGTTTTGCTTAATGAAATCATAATTGCTTGAATTTGCACAGATACCCTAATTTGTAAATCTGAATTCTCTAAGTATCCTGAATTGGCAAACCATTATGTCCTTCTCAAATAGTTCTCAAATAGTAAGCATTGCAGGATTTTAATTCACAGATAAAACAACTACAGTTCCTTAAAATGAGCTCTTAAATTGAATTTTATTAAGTATTGTGGTGTTGAGATGTTTGCAGTGTCATACTTCTTAACTGAACTAAAATATTAATGGCTGCAGACATTAAAACACGAAATTACTAAAATATTAGAAACCAGATGAAGGATGTGGAGCTGCTTACTTAGTGTTTTTCCTCTGTAGTAGTACTAGTTTTAGCAAACAGTTCTGCATGTTGAGCCACATGTTGCATGAACAGCTCAGCCATGTCAGACAGGAGGGAACAAGTGCCTTCCTGGCCCTGAGGGAGCTCACGTCTGTTCGTGTGTATTTTGTCTTTATAATGTCAAACAACAAGAAATGCTCTCCACTGTGAAGTCACTGGCTTTGTGCTGTAGTGATTGACTGGTTTGTTTTTGGCAGATACCGGGAGAAAGCCAAGAAGGACATTGCTGCTGTGGGGGCACATGCTGCTAAATTGCTACAGTCCCTGGGCAAGGTGAGTCCAAACGTACAGCCATCCTGGCAGGGGGAAAAGAGCTTTTCCCTGATGTTCTGTGCAGAAATGAGTCACAGGAGACATAGGGAAAGAAAGGCTTAACTGCCCCTTTCTGTTCAAAAGGTTAAAGTAAGTTCTGATGAAATGAAATATCTGTGGTCTGCTTTATTTTATCACTTTTGGTTTGATCATATAAAAGTGCATACAGGTATATATTATTTATGATTTAAGATACCTCTTTTTGGTACATTAGTGACTAGTTATTTCACAATAAAGATATTAATATATCTGAAAGCATGAATTCTCTGGTCATTGTATGTACTGAATGAGTATATTCTCTCTTTTAGGCACCAGAGTCTATTTCAGAGAGAGAATTAAAATTGCTTTGTGAGTATGCTTGGATTCTGTTGTTGGGTTTATGCAAATGATCAAATAACCACAAACTTCTGAATGATAATGATAATGTAGTTATTAAATAGTAAGTCAATATTTAAATTTTTCAAATAGGTGATTTGCATCCCTCATCTTCAGTGGAAGTAACAGATGTTCAGCATCTCTCAGTAGTGAATCTATAACAGTTGGCTTTTAAAAGATTATATATTTTTTCAGCTCCAAACAAGAGGGAGCAGCTTCCTCTGCTCTGTGTGATGAGTACCTAAGTAGTCTTGCTCTGTAAACTTCTGGTATTCTGAAAAGGTAAAGCAGTTGATAGCATTTCAGGTTGTGTCTGTTCTGGATATGTGCACATGTCCTGCTGCAGCCTGGCTGAGTCTCCTTGCAGCTGGAAAATGTCCCTGTAAGCACAGAGCCAAGAGCAGGCTGTCCCTGTGCTGGGAAAGCATTCGCTGGGAGTTTGGGAACCTCCCAGTTGCTGCTTTTTCAGTGCTCAGCAGTAGCTGCCTGTTGGGTTGTTTCGTAGCAATGATACAGGAAAAGAACCTTTTCAGTCTGGTGGCTGCACTGTTGAAATATTAATTGAGAACACATGAGGCAGCATTAGATGTAGTGGAAGGTGAAAAGAACCCGTGTCCATTTGCAGCCTGGAAGAGGAAACATGGATTTGATGGCTGTGGCTGCTGTTACATTAACATGGCAGATGTGGATTCCAGAAGTACACAAGCACCAAGTATTTCACTAAAATACTTGTGACACAGACCTAAATGTAATTTAATAGATTTTTAGTACTATAAGGTACCAGAAGAAACAGAAAAGAGTGAAATGAAGTGCTGGTCAGTTCTGGTCTCTCCCATGTAACACATGAGAGGGACAGACTTACAAAGCTGTGGTGAGATGAGGTTGTTGATGCTCCTCCCCTGCCCCCTGCCAGGCAGCAACGCAGCCTTCCTGCGGGTGGTGCGGTGCCGGTCCCTGGCCGAGGAGCACAGCCTGAACACCTTCAACAGGGACGAAATCAGTGAGTACTGCCCCCAGCTTAGAATGACTCTGGGATGAAAAAGAATTTGCCTGTTACGTGTTCTATTGCATTTATGCAGTTTTATGATTTGGCATCAACTAGAAGTGTGGAGTTTTTAAGTCTAGAATGTTGATTTCAGTTTGATTTTGAAATTTCAAAAATGGCCTTACGGATTGTTCCATGCTTCAGTTTGTTGGGGTTTTTTTCTTGCAGATTTTAATTTTGGTAGTATATAAATAAAACACTGTTTTCTTCAAACTTCTCTGTACCTCAGTTATTTCTGACAGATCTAGAAAGGTGCTTTCACCTGACCAAATGAGAATAATTGTTTTGTCCTCTGCCAGCTTATCTGTTCAGTATGTGAACTAGCAAACTGGTTACTTAATACTGCTTTTTTTGTTGTTTTGAACCTACATAAATTAAAAAAAAAAAGCTGGAAATACTTTTTCATCACAGTTTGTTGAATTTAAGCTTATACAAGTCCCCTGTTTTGGACAAAATGTATGTACATTTAGTGTAATATTTATATAATAGTTATATATCATTTAAGTGAAAGCTCCTTGAATTAGTTGGTAATATACGATGTCATTTAAGTAGTAGTCAGCATTTACAAATACTGCTGAGCTGCATGGAAAAGGATTTAAGACCTGTTTCATAATTATTGTCATTACAGTTAAATATTTAAAGCATGTTTTTCACATCCCAGAGTAAGAAGTAGAATGTATTCCATTTAAATTAGAGCAGCTGCCAGAGTTGAAATGTGAATATCATCACTGTATAGTTTATATCAAATACAAAAAGTATGGTTTTGTCATAAAATTTGGAGGCAAAACTGCATATCTGGCACTGAGATTCTCAGTTGCAGGTTGTTGTCGTTAGGGTTTTTTTTTTCCTGCAGATTTTACAGTTTAAGCATGGGTAATACTTGTTTTCAGGTAATGCAAACCTTTCCTTTTTCCATTTCATCTGTACTGATTAACTGGTTCTCTTGCTATTCCCAGTTTCCCACATGGATAACCCAGACAGTGAGATAGTGCTGTACTTGATGCTGAGGGCTGTAAATAGATTTTACAAGCAGCATGGGAGATATCCAGGTATGTTAACACAGAGTTACTTCATGTCAGCAAAAGAAATACAAAGATCCAATAGTTACTGTAATAGTGAAGTTATAAACTACAAATACAGCATTAGTTGTGGTTTTGTTTCCATATTAATATAACTTTAAGAATTAAAGTGAGAATTTTTTCTCTTTGGGAACTGAAGGAATTCATCTGAATTAATACCACTGAGATGGGTTGCATGGATTACAAGCCAGTTCAGCTGCACAGAAATTTGTCATTGTCATGAGTAGCATCAACAAAATATTCAATCATTATTAGTCTAGTGTTAATAATATTAGTCAGCTTAGAAACTTTTCAGAAAAATGAAATACTTACGCTGCCGTTTGACCCCGTTAACTTTGCACATGGTGTTACAGTTGTGTGATTAAACACTTCACTTCCCTCCCAGGTGTCTACAACTACCAGGTGGAAGATGATACTGGAAAACTAAAATCTTGCCTTACTGGTTTCCTCCAAGAGCACGGGCTGTCGGTGGCGGTGAAGGATGACTATGTCCAGGAGTTGTAAGTGTTGTGGTTGGGGTGTGGCTGTGTTGGTGGCACCACTGGCACGTTCTGACTGTCGCTCTCCTGCCCAGCTGTCGCTATGGAGCTGCTGAGCCACACGCTGTTGCTGCCTTCGTGGGAGGTAAGGATGGCACTGATCTCAGAGGGCACACGCTCTGGGACGTGCCCGAGGCAGGAGCGCTGCTGCTTTAACTGCCTGCTGTTGGCAGAGCAAAGGCTGTAGTCAAAGGCAGCACTAGGACAAAATCCTCCCCTTCATTCATACTCCTGGAGCATATGGAGTAAGTGGGCACAGCAAGGGTTTAAAGGCAGTGAAAGAAACCAAGTAAACTTAAAAACAATCACAGTAGATCCATTCTAGGAGCTTAAAAATGTTTAAAAATAGTGCTTGAAAGAGGCTTCATTTTTTTTAAAGGAAAGCAATAACTGTAGTAATTTTAAAATTATTCAGTACACGTCTTCTGTTAAATTAACACAATATACTTACATAAAATATCTATGTAATATAAATAGCCTTGATTTCTTACCTTCATTCAGGCTATGGGTATTGTCAAAATGACATATGTTTTAATGGGTGCTCAAAATTGATGCATCAGTTAACTTACCTCCTTTATTTGGCTTCATGCAGTGCTGAAGATAATTATGTTTTAAATACTCTAGGTATTTTCTCTGATTAAGTGAAACTTGACATGTACTGTGCTTCAGAAAAATATGTAAAGGCAACTTCTGAAGAAATTACAGAATATTTCATACTACAGGAAAACACAAAGGGAACACAGTGAAGTAGCCCTTCAGTTTATTTTACAGTTTAATTGTACATTTTTTTAATTTAACTTCTCAAATGTATTTTGAGAGGTCTCAACTTGCATGGGTCTGTCTGCTCACGTGTTACTCTGTGTGTACATGGAGAGAAAGTATATATAGCAAAGTGTATGCAAAGCTAACTTTGGAAGTTGCAGCTTTCTGAACCTCTTTAATACTGGGAAGTACTGAAAGGCATTTTTACCTCCTAGGAGGTGTATCAGGCACTTCCTAAATAATTCCAGTGTAGTGAGTTCTAGATAAATAACATTGTTTTACTGTTGTTTAAATAAGACCTGCTAACTGCCTTCTGGTTTTTCTTTTACAGGGGCTGCTGCACAGGAGGTTATCAAAGTCATTACAAGGCAGTTTGTAATTTTTAATAACACCTTTATTTACAATGGAATGTCACAGACTTCAGCAACTTTCCAGCTGTAGGGTAATGATGCCCCAAGGTGCTGCTGCTGCTGTATTTCCAGTTTTTACAGTCTTTACAGTTCTGTAAATACTGTGGTGGTTTGCCACTGACTGGATTGTTCTGTTCTGTATCACCTGCTAATTAAACTTCCTTCATTTGTAATTATCTTTTTGTTGTTGTTGTTGTTGTCCTGAGGATAAAGACTCATTCTAATTTTGGGTGATAAAAACTTGACATGACTTACATGGGGTTGAAAATGCATCAAACGTTGCAACTTCTGGAGCTTTTCTTCAATGACAGACAGCTTTCAATCAACATGGTGAAAATGCACTCCTAGGTGACAGGGTCTGATGAGTTTACTTGCAGTTATCCGTTCCAAGTAATAGCTGGTCTCAAAACAGAATGTATCAAATGGGGGAGGGTGTTCTGTCTGACTATCCACCATCCAATTAATTACAGTCCTTCACTTTGCTGCTAACTTTTTGTTGCAGCTTTTAGAGAGGTCCTTGAAAGGCAGATACTGCTGTGTACCTCCAAAGCGTGTCTGGGTTGCCTCAGGAGTCCCAGCTTCTGAAGATGAGGAATCTTGGTTGGCCTAAGTTGTGATTTTTCTGAACATGGGTTACTGGGAGGCAGTGATTTGGAGATGGATGCTTTACAGGAGCGCTACCTGCTCATCTAAGGAGGTGCTACTGGTCAAAGTGGCCAGAGAATTACAAAATTTGTAAATTCCAGCGAAGGTTCTGATGGCCCGTTTCTAAGGAGCAACTTTCCAACTGTAGGGTAACTAACTGCCAGCCCCTGGTTTTTCTTTGCTCGGGGCTGTGCACAGGAGGTTTTACAGATTTACAGTTCTGTAAAGTTTGTGATTGTTTAATAACACCTTTGCCACTGACTGGATCCCCCTCTGTCCGTCTGTTGCAAATTGCTCCAAGTCTAAAATAACAAATGTAAACCCCCACCCACTCCCTTTAGGAACACGTGAAAACATTACACCAGAAATTGCAGAATTGCAGGAGCAAAGAGTGGTTGTCCCTATACACTCACCATGGACAGTATGGTCTGTCCATAAACCGAATGGGCAGTGGCAGCTGCCAGTGAGTTACCTCGATGCTGACACTGGCTCACAAATAGCTGCTGTGTCGCCAAAAATGTTACGACCCGCCCCAGGAAAAGAGGGGGAGGGGGGTAACCCAGGTTTTATCAAAAATTCCTTTGGGGTGGATTAAAGCGAAACGACACTAAATAATCGGTGTATGAAAACATATATTGATAAGTTCTGAATCAATAGGTAAGCTAACATTTTTGGGTGCTGTCATAATCAATAGGTAAGTTTTGGGTTGTCATAATCAATAGGTAAGCTAACATTTTTGGGTGCTGACTTTCTGGAAAAATTCAGGATAAGAGCAAGGGAGAGTAAGGGAAAGAAAAGCTGAGAGTGGACAGATGTCCTAGTCACCGCCCACGGGGTCCAGCGATGAAACTTGATAGCTGCAGCTTCCATGTCTGGAAGTGGTGGTCTTGATCTGCTGGGGGTGGAAGCAAGAAGTTATGAATTATCATATCCATGGTCAGTGTCACGGGCCATGCCTCGAGCCTCCAACCTCTCCCTGGGCCCTGCGCAAGAGAGCTGCTGTGTCTGGCCTGGCTCCCACCTTTTCAAGTTTTGCAGAGGGAGGGAGGGTCCTGATTGCTCATCAGATGTGTCAATAGTCAAAAGCCTGCAAGGTCAGCCCTTATCTTTCAGGACTTCACACCTCCAGCACTGGAGGGAGGGAGGGGCCCGACTGCTCATCAGAGGTATCATGCAAGTCAAAAGCCTGCAAAAGTCTCCTAGAATGCATAAATCATTAACCATTTCAGTCTCTGACACTGGGTCCCTCAATTCAGGAAGGACACGGAGGGGCTGGAGCATGTCCAGCAAAGGGCAACAAGGCTTGTGAAAGGACTAGAGAACATTTCTTATGAGGAACAGCTGAGAGAGCTGCATTTGTTTATCCTCCAGAAGAGGAGCTCAGGGGGGTCCTCATGGCTCTCTAAACTCTGACGGGAGGGTGTAGTGAGGAGGGGTCGGTCTCCTGCCGGGCCGGCAGTGAGCGCGCCAGAGGAAATGGCCTCAAGCTGAGGCGGGGGAGATTCAGATTAGGTATTAGAAAAAACTTGCACTGTTCAGGTGATCAGGCTCTGGAATAGGGAGGTGCTGGAGTCACCATCCCTGGAGGTGTTTGAGACATCTGCGTCTGGCGCTGGGTGATGTGGTTTAGGGGTTACAGCGGCAGTGTTGGACTGGATGATCTTAAAGGTCTCTCCAGCCTGTGGTGAAAGCCAAGTGAATTTCCCCTGGATCAGGCGAAGGTTCGGGGATGGCCCGTGCCCGAGGGCAGCCCTCCCTAAGGTGCTCGGGCGGCGCCGCGGCGGCGGCTCCTGAGGGACCGCCGAGGGCGGGAAGGGCCGGGCGCGGGCTGAGGGCGGCCCCGCTCCCCTCAGGAGGCACCGCGGGCAGGGCCGGGCACGGCGGGGCCGCCGCTCCCCCCTCAGCCCAGGGGGTCACCGCTCCCCCTCAGCCCAAGGAGTCACCGCTCCCCCTCAGCCCAGGGGGTCACCGCTCCCCCCTCAGCCCAGGGGGTCACCGCTCCCCCTCAGCCCAAGGAGTCACCGCTCCCCCCTCAGCCCAGGGGGTCACCGCTCCCCCCTCAGCCCAGGGGGTCACCGCTCCCCCCTCAGCCCAGGGGGTCACCGCTCCCCCTCAGCCCGGCGGGCAGGGCTCGGCGGCAGGACCGGCATCGCCTCGGTGTGTGCCCAGAGCCACCCCCGCTGCCGGGTCACAGGTACCCGATCCGTGCCCCATCTCGCACTTCTCGGTGCTCCCCACCCTCCCACAGATGAATGCTGCTGCTGTTTCATCTTTATGCTGTTCGCCTTTTTTTTGTTCCTTTTTTTTTAAAGTCTTTTACATGTTCTTTCCGCTTTATGTGTGGGACGATGTGGAGCGCTCGCACAGACTTCAAAGCGGGCTGTGACACGGAGCCGTGACTCACACACGGCTCCTCTGAGGGAGGGAGCTGGAGCAGGGCAGAACCCCTCAAAGCCCTGGTGCACTGACCAGTGCCCTCGGCCTCGCTGCTGCTGGGAATGTTGGTGTCCACGGAACACCAACACGCGTTTGGTCCGAGGATAAATCCCGCCGAGGCTGGCTGGTTGGCCCGTGTGCTCCAGTGCTGCTGAACAAACAGATTAACGGACCTGCACTTCTCTGAGAGTGGTTTTTTGAGGTTTGAAGGGATGTTACTGGGTTATTTTCCATAACCGATGGGTGATTTGTTTTATATGCAACATTAGCCAAAAGATCGTTGCAGCAAATCTTGTAGGTTGTCTTTTTGTCTTTGCCCTGTGATGCAACAACAGAGTCGAGCTATTTGCATTTAATGCAGGCTGGCTTATAAATATTGCTTTGTGTACCTTCTGTAGGTTGCAAAAAAACAGACCCAGGTAAGGTCAAGATGTATCTTTCTATACAGTTTTAAAAACCTTGTGCTTCTTATATTAAAGGCTCCTTAATTGTATAAATGTGTATATAATTAAACTCTACTAAAATGCAATTAGCTCCAGAGTTAGCTGATTTTTACAGCCCTCCTTTTGCTAGGGAACATGTAGGGGTTTTGTTTTCTCTTAGGCTGGCAGGGTGGTAGCAGAAGGGGCAATAAGAGGTGAGGAAGACTTGCAAGCTTTTCCCTGTGACAGGGTTGGATTTGCAAGAAAACGAAACACATATATATTATGACTTCTGAAAGGGTAAAGGAAGATGTGCTCTTTTTAAATTTTCCCTCTTAATGGAAACAGCAAAGGAATGGGGACAATCCTAAACTCTAAATGGAAAGCAGGGCTGGCTGTCTTCATCAAGAGGACACTGATGCTGCTTAGAGCCTCTGCTCCACTTTGAGAAGGAAAACTGAAGCTGAATTTATCAGTGATTTAAAGTTTCTACCTGGAGCTAAATAATTTTTGAGAAATTGAAATAGCTTACTGTGATGCTTGAATCAACCTTTTGTGTGTGGGGCTTGGAACATGTTTGAGGGATCATCTTTCTCTCTCCAAACCTAAATGTCACCCTGCTGTTCAATTAAATCCCAGATCCTGGCACATCAGGTTTGTGAAGAATCAGTACTCTGGGGTTTGTGGGTTACATGGTTCATGTAAAGTCTTTGGTGAATTAAAATTAATTCTTAGTTTAAGGAATCATGTCTCAGCATTGGTTTTGGTTTGACCAGTGCCAATAAAAGTTATGGTTTAGTGGCTCCCTGAGCAGCAGCAGGAGGCTGAAGGTTTTGTATGGTCACCCTCTATGTAACATTTCTTGGTGGTTTTAGTGCAAGTTGTTGGCTGATGACAAAGTTGGCAACTATTGGAAGGGAAATTGGATCAGCTTTACTGTGATCAATGACACAGAGACATTGATGGTGCCCCCACAATGGTAACACCTGATTCCTGCAAAATGTTAACTTTCAGAAGATGTTAACACAGTACTACAAATGCAGGGCTATTATAAAATACTGTATTTGCAAAGGAAATCTTTGCCATGCAAGAGAACATTAAACTGTGTGTGTGTCAGATGACAGAGTAAACCCAGAAAACTGGAAAGAATGCATGGTAAGATAAATGATGTAATTTATACTGCATGTGTTATAAACACTGCTAATCTGAACAGAAATGACAATGCTTTTTCCTTGCTGTTGTAGAACAGGAACAGAGATACAACCAAAAATGGACACTGAAAAGGTGCAGAAGAATCAGTGTGGTAAGATACCCAAGAGAATTTGTCATTTATTATCTGCATCAACTCTACAAATCTTTAGTAGACTGTGATAGGCCTGGTTGGGGGGGGAGCTGTTGGGAAAATGCTCTTTTTCTGAATTTTGGATACTGTATTGGATACCTAGAGGGCAAATCTAATGACAAATATTCAAATAGTAAATCACACCACAAGGTTACCTTTTTTTAAAAAAATGCTAATATTTACCTACATTTTATTGTATTATAACTTTTTTGAGAAACTCCCAATCTCACAAGAGTTTACAATATACAACTGCTGTTACTTTCGCAAATAATTACCAAATAAGCTTTTTATTATAACCCAAAGCTTATGAAACAGGTTTTCCAAGTTTTTA